TAGCTATATGTAGAAGAATGAAACTCGACCATTCTCTTACACCATAAACAAAGAGAAACTCAAAATGGATAAAAGACCTCAACTTGAGACAGGAATCCATCAGAATCCTAGAGGAGAACATAGGCAGTAACCTCTTCAATATCAGCCACAGCAACTTCTTTCAAGATATGTCTCCAAAGGCAAGGGAAACAAGAGCAAAGATGAACTTTTAGGACTTCATCAAGATCAAAAGCTTCTGCACAGCAAAGGAAACAGTCAAGAGAACAAAGAGGCAACCCATGGAATGGGAGAAGATATTTGCAAATGACAGTACAGACAAAAGATTGATATCCAGGATCTAGAAAGAACTCCTCAAACTCAACACACACAAAACAGACAATCATATAAAAAATAGGCAGAAGATATGAGCAGACACTTCTCCAATGAAGACATACAAATGGCTATCAGACACATGAAAAAATATTCATCATCACTAGCCATCAGGGAGATTCAAATTAAAACCACATTGTGATACCACCTTACACCAGTTAGAATGGCCAAAATTAGCAAGACAGGGAACAACATGTGTTGGAGGGGATGTGGAGAAAGGGGAACCCTCTTTCACTGTTGGTGGGAATGCAAGCTGGTGCAGCCACTTTGGAGAACAGTGTGGAGATTCCTCAAGAAATTGAAAATAGAGCTTCCCTATGACCCTGCAATTGCACTCCTGGGTATTTACTCCAAATATACAGATGTAGTGAAAAGAAGGGCCATCTGTACCCCAATGTTTATAGCAGCAATGGCCATGGTTGCCAAACTGTGGAAAGAACCAAGATGCCCTTCAACGGACGAATGGATAAGGAAGATGTGGTCCCTATACACAATGGAGTATTATGCCTCCATCAGAAAGGATGAATACCCAACTTTTGTAGAAACATGGAGGGGAGTGGAAGGCATTATGCTGAGTGAAATGAGTCAGCAGAGAGAGTTAATTATCATATGGTTTCACTTATTTGTGGAGCATAACAAATAGCATGGAGGACAAGAGGAGATGGAGAGGAGAAGGGAGTTGAGGGAAATTGGAAGGGGAGGTGAACCATGAGAGACTATGGACTCTGAAAAACAATCTGATGATTTTGAAAGGGCGAGGGGTGGGAGGTTGGGGGAACCAGGTGGTGGGTATTAGAGAGGGCACAGATTCCATGGAGCACTGGGTGTGGTGCAAAAACTATGAATACTGCTATGCTGAAAAGAAATTTAAAAAAAGATCCCAGTGAATGAATATGCAACATAATTAGAGGATATCTGTGTCACCTCAAGTCTTGGTCATTATATAAAACTGGCATAAAAATCAGTGTGCAGGCACACCTTTGTTGCTCAGTGGGTTAAGGCCTCTGCTTTCGGCTCAGGTCATGATCCCAGGGTCCTGGGATTGAGCCCCACCTCAGGCTCTCTGCTCTGCAGGGAGCCTGCTTCCTCCTCTCTCTGCCTGCCTCTCTGCCTACTTGTGATCTTTGTCTGTTGAATAAATAAATAAAATATTAAAAAATAAAAATAAAAAAACATATACTTTAAAAAAATCAGTGTGCAGATTTTTGGTTATTTTCATGTTTTGTGTTATGAATAGGTTCTGTAAACATTCACCTGCAGGTGTTTCTCTAGAGTGTTATCATTTTGTTTTGTTTTGTTTTCTTAGTTTGTTTTTTGTTTACATTTTAACATTTTTACTTTGAAATCATTTTAAGTAGTTCCTGCAAACATCAGAAAATGAACAAACTTGTCGTTGGGTTAAAGCTAAAGTAATCTCGGTTCCAGATGCAAACAAAGCTGACATACCCACCAAGCCATCAAGGATGGTGCTGAGGCCCAAAGAAAGACTCAGAGCCCACAGAATTTTCATCTTTTGACAAATCAGAAGAAAATTATTGACTGTATGTGAGCTGAGAACAAAACTGTCCCAATTCCTGAAGACAGGGAATTTCTATTTCCTTTGAGACTCTTTGTGTAGGAATGAGCTGGCCTGAGTGACTCTGAGGATAGAAGAAGAGAAAGAACCTCACTACCAGACAGTGTCCCTGGATGGACACAGGCCCAGAGTGTTCAAAAAAAAAAAAAAAAAAAAAGAAAGAAACAGAATAAGAAAAATCACAGCCAGAGCTGAGTAGCCAGGTGCTGTGTGGTTCATGCTTTTGGCAGAGGAGTAACTAGGAATATGACTCAATTTCCCATGGGCATGAGAACCATGTTAGTGCTGAGAACCTTGACCCACATCGATGTGTAAAAATCAGCCTTGAGTCCATTGATAATGAGGATTCCAGACTTGGAAGCAAAGAATGGACCTCTGTCCCCCTAAAGTGAATGGTAATAGTAATTACCATGAATGAGGTGTTTGGGGTCATTCCTGGGAGCAGTTTGTATCAGTTCACAAGAAACCATAACTGATTTGGAGATGATACTAGGGCAGGAGATGGTGACCCTCCGATTCAGGGCCCCACACACTGAGGACTGTTGAGTCAGCACAAACTAGGACCTGGACCCTGGAAAAAAGACACACATGCCTCTACTTAATTTTCTCACTGAAAATAAGCCATATTTTCTGTGCGCAGTGGTTTTGTCTCACTGCCTCATTGTCTGAGACACTGTGAGTGAGTATAACTGCACCCAGTCCAGTGACCTACAGCACAGTAATTGTCAGCCTCATCCTCAGACTGCAGCCCAGAGATGAGCAGAATTCCTGTATTAGTGGAGGAATCCATGGATCCAGACTCAAATGGGGACCCCAGGTCCCCCATGGAGGAAGATGAGAACAGAGGAAAGAGGGAAAATCACATGTCCTCAGATGGACACAAGAGGGGACTGACTGTACCTTAGGCTCTGGGAAAAGGAAGAGAGAGCGTCAGGTGGTTGGAGGGTGATACCCATAGAGATGGGGATGCCCTAACTTACATGGGTGAAGGCAGGTGAGAGAGCAGGTGGGGGCAGGTGATGTGTGTGTTGTCCTGTGTCACATGGTGATCATGGTGTGAAAGTGTGGAAAAATTATAATAATTCAGAGACAAGAAGGGCTGTAGTGACTGATACTCCAAGCTCTGAATACTGCACTGTGGTCCCTTACCTGACTGTAAAACGGGGTGGCTCTCCCACAGACCCTTCCCTATCAAGCAGGTGGCTTGAGGCAGAGGCACTGGTCTCTGTGCCCACAGAGATCTGCAAGCAACAAAGCCTCTAATGCCCAGAGATACCTCAGCTTCACATAATTTGGAGTCCACGTGGAAGAGGAGTCAAATGCAGGACAGCACAGCCTTTGTCCTGAGGATGGCACACAGTAGCAAAGATCCGTTGTAGTGGCTGTGGAAGTGAAGGTCTCAGTTCTCCCTCCCAGGAAACCCTACAGGTAACTGACAGCCCCACTTCTCCTTTGTTGGTTGCAGGAAAATGTGAGCTTAGGGATCAGAGTCTGGTTTTCCCTAGGGGAACAAGGCTCCACAAATGCCCCTCAGGTGCCAGGACCTTCCACATCCCTGTTGACGTGCACAGACCTGTGGTCCCAGGCTCTTCCTACCTGAGCCTCCCTTCCATGTCTCCTTCCAGGGATCAGACCTATAGCTACAGGATCTCCCTCCAACTCCAGCTCCATCCCCAGTGATCCTTCACCAGCAGTTCCCTCTGAGGATCACATCATTTTCTTGTCGCTTTTTGTCATCTGATTATGACACATGTCAAACTCAGTTCTCTGAGGCCTCTGTGTATGAGCAGTGAGAAGGGAGCATGACAGAGATGTCTGAGTGCCAAGCTGGGACTGAGTGGACAGGCCTCTTTTGTCTTCTCCAGTGACCAAAAGGGGAGCACTACTTACATGAAATTTTTCCTCCTGGAGAATCTGTTCTATATTTGGTTCTTAGATTAGAGCCTGAGGATGAGCCTCAGAGTTTCTCCCCTGGGAGGCACCAGACAAGAAGCAGCTGCTGGGATCTGGGACCACAGAACAGTGAGCATGACCATCTGCCCAGCCAGATGGGCTACATTTGCTAAGTCCACAGCAGTACACATAGATTCTAACTCCTCAGCCTGGTGACTTTGGGGGATTACAGAACAGGGAGCCCTCACTGAGCAGAAACTGGGAAAGGCACTCTGTGCCCCCTACTTTGACTGGCCAAACCTTGGCTCTGGCTGGAAATGATGTTGGGGCAGGACTAACATTCAGCTCACTGTCAGTCCACAAACATCAGTGGGCTATATGGCCTTTCTGTGACCCGACTTCCTCATATAGATGGATTTTCTAATTTCTCAAAGAGCACATGCTTTCCAAATTAAGAAAAAAAAATAAAGGCAATTTTACAAATAAGTCACATATTTGTTATTAACTTTTCAAAGAGTTTTTGAATTTCACTATTAATAAAGTAAACACTGCCATAGTTAATTAAGTAATGACCCAGATTAGAAGAACTAAAAATTGTGGAACATTGATATCAGAAGAGAATGAACTCTCTCCGATAGCATTCACAATGAACTGTTCCAAATGTTTCTTCTCCTTCATCATCCTCACAGCGTACTGACTAGAAGCATTTGGCATGTGGAACAGAACAGCACATGGGCTATGGATCCACCTCATGTCTATCCAGATGAAGACATGTTCCATATGATTTTGTCTCCATCATCAAATTACTGAATGAGGACATGATAATTAATGTCATTTGAATAAGAAGTATCTCACAAGGAGCAGTGAGCTCACTAAATCTGTTTGTGGATATATTTTGGATGTGAGCTCCCTCCCCATAGCTATAATCAGAGAAGTAGGGATGAAGCCTGGGATTTTGGGGTCACACTGGAGAGATGGACACACCCTGGTAAAGTTGAGAATTGGGCATATGACCAGGAACCACTGGAGAGGAGAATGGGGCCAGGGAGCCTCCCTTCCCATGGTGTTGTTGACTGCCCCCCCTCATTTTCTCTCCTGCTTCTAAAACTGAGAAGTTCTGACCCATGAGGAGGTTCTGGTTGCACTTCCGCATTTATTTAAATCACTGTGTAAGTATAACCACCAAAACACAGAACACAATAATAGCCTCATCCTCAGCCTGGGCCCCTGTGATGATGAGGGTAGCTTTGTTCCCAGAGATGGATCCAGAGAAGCGGTCAGGGACCCCTGAGGGGCAGTTGATTGTGCTGTAGATAATCATGTGAGGAGGCTGTCCTGGGTTCTGCTGGTACCAGCTCAGGTAGTGATCCGTAGAGACTAAACCAGAACTAAGGGCACAGGTAAGTGTGACTGTTCCTCCTGGAGAAATGGTTAGTGATGGCAACTGGGTCACCATATTCTGAGAATCCACTCCTAAAACCAAGAGGAGAGAAAAGTTTTATTATTGGAGACAAGGGTCACCCCAAGACCTTGATTTTAGGTGCCCTTCAAGGATGAAGAGTACTCTCCCCTGATCTAAGCCATAAGTGAGGAGCCCAAGAAGCACTCTCCAGGCCATGGAGGGGACTGTCATAGGATGCAGGCTCCTCAGGCTCCTGGGCTAGAGTATGCTGTCCCTGGGCATTTTCATGCCTCTCTAACCCATTAAGAAGAGAAGATGCTTCATGCAAATCGACTTCCCCTCTCTTCCTTCCCCAAGGTCACCCTGCTGTCCCCTGCAGGAGAATTTGAAAGAAGCATAAGCTGGGAACTCACACAAACCAATGATTGCAGGATTACTGGAATACTCAGTGACAGTGATAACATCATTTACCCAGTAAGCTCCTTAAACATCCCTGGTGAATTCAGCCAAGTCTCTTCTCTGGAAAGGCTGAAATAGGATACGGGTGTATTCTCCAAATCTTAGCCCTACTTCTAGATCATTCTGAATCCATCCCAGACCTGGGCACACTTTCTGCTCTCCCCAGTGACATCCCTGATTGTCTCCTTGTTGGATCTTAGTGGTCACTCCTCCAATAGTGAGTCCACTGGGAATCTCAGAGTACCCATCTTGGGGGTGAAGGAAAAGGGTCTCCTCTGACTTAGTGCATAAACCTTTTTCTGGAAAAATTGGAGAAGCATAGCAGGGCTCATTGTGCATATACTGAGTGACCCTCCAGGCTGCAGAGACCAACATTGTCTGTTCTAAGAAGCTGTCTAATCCATGAAGTCCTTCAATGTAACTGTAGGCTTTGAGGAGGAAAGGTCAAAGTGTCACCATGAAATTCTGAAACAACTAAACATATTGGATATAACAAATATAGACAAGTGTGACTCATGATCAGAAATGAAAAGAATACTGTGTACCTGACTGGCTCAGTTGATAAAACACAGTGCTTGATCTCAGGATTGTGAGTTAGAGCCCCACGTTGAGCATACTGGTCACTTAAAAAGGAAATCAATGAAATTTTTTAAAAAAAGACACCATGTTAAACAAGTGGATGTGAATATCAAAGTGCATTTTTAAATCCCTTTCCCTTGTGTTCTGCTGAGGAATAGAAAGACTTAGAAGTCAGAGAAGAGCCAAGTAGTTAGGAGAACTGGCAGGAGGATTAAGGGGATTGATGAGGCTCAGGGTGTTGGGGTCGATTCCACATTAAAACATGTTAAACCCCTAGGGCCTGCCTGGGCCTACTTAGCCATAGTGACTCCATGTTGCCTAGGTAGACATTTTGTTGTTTAATAAATGCCTCAACAGTTATTGATATCAGTTCCAGGTAACTGTTGCTAAAACACACACCTAAAACAAGGCCATTTTGTTTATATTGGTTCCAGGTAACTATTACTAAAACACATACCTAAAACAAGGCCATTTTGTTGTTTAATAAAAGCCTCAACAGTTATTAGTATTGGTTCCAGGTAACCGTTACTAAAACACACAGGTAGGAGACAACCAATCAGCCAATGCCACATATGTAGATGTTTGCAATTGTGCCCTATAAAAACTAGTCTGTAAGACCAAGGGGCGTTGCTCTCTTTGGAGGTGGCCCTGGCCGGTCAGTCTGACTTCTAATGCTTGGCATAGAATAAAGCTTTACATAACTTTCACTTTGTCTCAACCTCATTTCCCTGGCCGGTCAGTCTAACTTCTAATGCTTGGCATAGAATAAGGCTTTGCGTAACTTTGTCTCAGTCTCATTCCTTTGATAACGGACCCAACAAGGGTTGGTGTTTTTCTCAGGATGAGTTATAAATTTGATTGGCATTTTGGAATCAAAATATGAGGGCTGTGTGATTCAGTTCTGAGGGCTCATGTTGCTTCCAGGGATAGTCATCCACAGTGAGGACTCTGCTTCCTAAATATGCAAGGGCCAGTGATAGATTCTCCTGGTCTTTCTGACCAAAAGGCAGACCACTGATATCTCAGGAGCAGTCATTCAGTGTCCCCTGATGATATCAGACACCATGCCACCCAGTCCATGTCATACTCCCCAGAAGTCCTGGAACATTCAGGTGGACTTTTCTGATGTCAACACCCAGGGCACTAGAATGATTGGGTCAGCTTTGGGGTTGAACCATTCATTTTTCCAGGGCATCAATACCCTCAGGTGGAAATATAAGGGAGATATTTATGTTATGAGATATTTTAGGAGTATCTGATAATCTGACTTTGCTTCTGCTTTGTCCCTGGTTTCATTAATGGGACATAATTCACTTGAATCAAGCTTAATGCTTAAGACCAACAGAAAAGCCCATTGATTCCTCCCTAGTGATAACTCTACCTGGGTTAGACTTACAGGTTGAGTTATGTAGTTATTGTTGTTGTCAGGGTCTCCTGTTAGGTTCACCAGCTCCCATGGCATATATCTTGTCCTTATATCTGTCTTTGTCACTGGACAACATATTTCCTGTCTTCGATTATTTCTGTGGGTTCTCATTTATGCTTTAATAATTATTATATCTATATAATAATTAATTTGTATTAACTCTGAAATAATTAAGATGTTTTCCTCAAATGTTGTAAATGATCTAAGACAAAGATTGATATTTAATAACATTTCTATAAGTGATCTATAAAATTAATTAATATAACAGTACTGTCCACTGAAAATCTACTCTTTTGTTCCACTTCCTTCCCAAATGGGTAACTGTTTATACTTTAAAGGATGTGTTGTAGTAATTTATATATATATATATATATATATATATATATATATATACTTTATATATTTATTTTGTATATTTATATATTCATATTTATTTTATATTTTTTATTTTATAATATTTATATATAAATATATATGCTATGTATATGATTCATATAGTTAATAGATAAATATATATAAGATTTATATATTATATACATATATGCATGCATACATTATATATAAAATATATAAATACATTTATAGTTCTATAACAGTATATACTATCATTATTACATAACAAGATCTTGCTTTTTGTCTTCTACTTTCCATGACCAGCATTTCCACATAATGTGTAATTGGTGATCTTTGTTTAGCAATACGTGTAGATCTGTCTTATTTTTATTCATATTTCATCTTTATCCCATAGGATGATTTGATATATTTTGGCCACTTTTCCAATGAGACACACTCATGCTGGTTTCAATTATTTTTTATGTATGACTCTGAACTGGACATATTTGTATATTCATTATTAAGTTTCTTAGGTAGATAATTTTCTTTAATACTTTCTTTTTCAAAAATATAACACCAAGTCAAAATATGTATATATTTAATATTTTGATAAAATATTAAAAATTCATATTCCAAAATGGATCAAAAAATTTGTAAACATTCAGACCCATCTCATCCCCATATCTGCATGGATGGTTAACATTTACTTTATCCTAGAAGTCAGGTGTCTGGTCATGGGATGCCAATATGACATGATCATAGTTGTACCCAGACTTGGTGATAAGAAGTTTAGGTTTTCCTTCCTCATATGGGTCTCCCTCTGCACCAAGCGCCACTATAATAGTAGCTCCCAATGGTATTCTGCCTTTTCTTAGGGCTGGGCACCAGTGAGGGTCAGGGTAGATTTTCTTGCAAGGAGAAAACCTGAGAAATTGGTGGGGTTCCAGGAGTGTTTATTGCTTGTATCCTAAATCAATTCCCTGGGGACTTGGCCATTCTGCTGCAATCACTATGGATAGTGAGCATTGGTGACTACTCCAGTGATGGAGTAGCAGGTGAGTGTGACTGTTTCTCCTGGGGACACAGTCAGTGAGGGCTCCTGAGTCACCACAGCCTGAGAAATAACTGGTCCTTGAAATGGAAATAGACACATGTTAGGAAAGAAGAATAAAAATGGAAGTAGCTCTCCAAAGGTTGTCTTTTGGAACCTCCATGAACCTGGGCAGTGGGTAAGGAGGAAGAGGAGGAGAAGAGGAGTCCAGGTCATGGCGTGGACTTTCCATAGTTTCCCTGGCCTTACATCTGGTACTGGTCTGGCATGTGTCCTTTGTCTCCTTCTGATCTCCAAGGTACTGGTGGCTCATTATGCAAATACAAGCCCACAGCGTCATTTGAATCTGTGACCTCAGCTTGGCTAATAGCTTCTGTCCCAAGAGGAGGTCTATACAGATCTTCTCTTGGGAGAATTCTGAGTTTGTCCCCTGGGAGGAAGAGCTCTGAGTTTGTTCCTTGGGAGGAAGCAGCTGCTGTGAAAGGAATGCAGGGCTCAGTCAGGTGGAGCCATTTCAGTTGATTTCAGGCCTTGCCAGCTCTGGGAATGTTCACAGCACCCCCTAGTGACATCCTGAAGAGTCTACTCATGGCGGAGGGAATTAGTTAGAAAGGATATAGTTCATTTGTGCTTTCCAAAAAGAAATAACAATGAGAGACTATGGACTCTGAAAAACAATCTGAAGGGTTTGAAGAGGTGGGGGGTGGGAGTTTGGGGGAACCAGGTGGTGGGTATTAGAGAGGGCACGGATTTCATGGAGCACTGGGTGTGGTACAACAACAATGAATACTGTTATGCTGAAAATAAATTTAAAAAATGATTTAAAAAAAGAAATGTGTTTTCTATTCTTGAGTTTGTTCAGAGAAGGTTCTTTATTAATTCCCTCTATGGTGTTTTCAGTTCTGTAATTTCCATTTGGTGTGTTTTGATGACATCTATTCAAGTTCTGTATTTCCATTTTTCTATTTTTTCCAAGAGCATCTATAGCTGTTCATCAGATTGATTTTGTGATTGTTGCCTGAAAATATCCGTCATCTAATTTCAGCAACTGAGTAACCCTAGTGGTAGTGGCAGTACATTCTTCTATCTCATTCAAGGTTTGGTTTTAATGGTTCTTCTTTTTTAATTCAATTACTTAACATATAGTGTATTATTTGTTTCAAAGTTAGAGTTTAATGACTTATCAGTTGCACATAACGACTAGTGCATGTTACAGCAAGTGC